CAGTTTGTGAAGATGCCGAGCGCTCAAGTATGAAAATAGAACAAAAACGCACATCCAGTTTGTTCTTAGCTGTTCTGTTACTTTGAAAAACCCTGCCAGGGCCTCTGAGGGTAGGTGACAGAGACATCTCAGAAATATCATTTGCTCAGCAGGCTCTCCCTCCCCCCACCCTTGTGTTTATTAAGCCCCATCTTTGTCCTTTGACTAATGTGTCCCGGTTGAGCATCCATGACGTCAAAGACCACCCAGTGCTGGGGGGATTGAGGGAAGGGAGATAAAGTTTCCAAAAAGAGGAACCTCTTTTTTCTTGAAATCTGTTTCCTTTTGCACACCACTGAAGACCATATGGAAAGTTCTACTTGGAGACGTGGGTATAAGACTTAGAGTGTTAGATGCGCTCCAGGACTGGCGTCTACACAGCTGCCCGCTGTAGACTGAATTGTGTCCCCCAAGTTATGCTGACATTCTAACTCCTGCGACGGTGAATGTGACCTTGTTGGGGGGAATAGGGTTTTTCTTTGCAGATCTCATCAGTTAAGAAAGTGACACTGAAGTCAAGTGTATCCTAAACCGCATCCTTTATGAACTGGTGTTTTAAAAGAGAAGGGCAGACACAGAGACAGTCACAGACAGGAGGAAGATGCCACCTGAAGACACGGCTTTAAGCCAAGGAATGCCAAGAGATGCCTGGAGCTGCAGAAGCTGAAGGAGATACATACAGAAGGATCTTCCACTAGAGCCTTCGCAGGAAGCTTGGACGCCTAACCTTCAGAACTGTGTGCCTTAGGATTCTCTAGAAAAACAGAACAACTGAGATAACATGTATATTATGTATATATATATATATATACACACACACACACACAACACACATTCATAGAGAGATTTACTTCAGGGGGTTGGTGCACGCTGTTGTGGGGGCTGGCAAGTCCAAAATCCACAGCTCAGGCTGAAGGCTGGAGACCCCTCCAGGCTGTGTGCTGTGATCCACAGGTCAGGCGAAGGCTGGAGACCCCTGCAGGCTGTGTCCCATGATCCACAAGTCAGGTCGAAGGCTGGAGAGCCCTGCAGGCTGTGTCCCATGATCCACAGGTCAGGTCGAAGGCTGGAGAGCCCTGCAGGCTGTGTCCTGTGATCCGCAGGTCAGGTCGAAGGCGGAGACAGACGCCTGCAGGCTGTGTCCCGTGATCTGCAGGTTAGGTCAAAGGCTGGAGACCCCTGCAGGCTGTGTCCCATGATCCGTAGGTCAGGCAGCAGGTAGAATGCAGAGATAAGAGAGGGGGCAATTCTGCCAAAACACCCATTTATAATTTGGAAGCAGACCACACCCTAAGACACTCCCCTGTTAACTGATTGATTGGTCACGCTGCATTTGATTGCATCATTAGGTCACGTTGTTGTTAGGTGCCATTGAGTCGGTTCTGATTCATAGCAACTGTATGTACAACAGAACGAAACACTGTCTGGTCTTGTGCCATCCTCACAATCCAGGCACGACGTCCTCCTCCAGGGACTGGTCATTCCTGATAACATGTCCGAAATACATGAGATGAAGTCTTGCCACCCTCACTTCTAAGGAGCATTCTGGCTGTAGCTCTTCCAGGACAGATTTCTGAATTCTTCTGGCAGTCCATGGTATAGTCAGTACTCTTCACCAACACTACAACTGAAAGGTGTCAGTTCTTCTTCTGTCTTCCTTATTCGTTGTCTGGCTTTCACATGCATATGAGGCAGTTGAAAACACCATGACTTCGGTCAGGCACACCTTAGCTCTCAAAGTGACATCCTTGCTTTTTTTTTTTTTTTTCCATCTTTGCTTTTTAACACTTGGAGGAGGTCTTTCAGTTAGGTTACATTATGGCAGAGCAACTAGGCTAGTGTTTGGCCAAACCACTGGGAGCCATAGCGAAGCCAAGATGACAAATAAAATTAACCATCGCGTTGTGAGAAAATAAACTTGTGTTCTTTAAAGCCACCGCCTTGTGGTATTTTGGGACAGCAGCCCGAGGAAGCTAAGGGGCCACCCTGGAGGAGGTGCCTGCTGGCAGGAGGAGCAAGGGCCCTTTCTCTTGGGTTGATTCCAGCATCACAACTGGCACCTCCTTGGATGGCAGCATTTCTACCCTGCAAAATATGGGTAACAGAAAAGACCCTGCATTCTTTAAAGAACAACATTAAAATGACAGCTGAAGTCTATGAGAAAGGGAGAATTTTGATGACCTTCCCTCACAAGGTTAGATTATCTTAGAAAAGCTGAAAAATAGTTTTAGAGAGAAGGATAGAAAAGTTTGGGGACCAGGAGAATTAAGATTAATTTTCCCAGGATTTATTGTTTGGTATGTTGGAAGTCAGATATCATGCACAATGCTGAGTAAAAGAACATTTCTGATATTGTGAAGGCATCGTGACAGTGCTCCATCAAATAAGGAATGTGGAATGAAGAAATACCGCTTTATGGCCTCAGAGCTCTAGCAAGACAGATTGTCTTCATTTTGAAGTAATCCACGGCATTCTTTGTCTGTATGTGTGCTTGTGTGTTCTCATGCTGAGCAATTTCACAGCCTGTGATCTTTGCTCATGTTATAAACATAATTTTTCTATGTCGTGCAGTTGTCTTCATTGTTATAATCTGTTATGGATTGAATTGTGTCCCCCAAAAAGTTATATTGAGGTCCTAACCCTGTACCTGTAAATATGATCCTATTTGGAAACGGGGTTGTTTTGTGATGTTAATGAGGTCATTATCGGAGTAGGTTGAGTCCTAAGCCTAATCCCTTCAGAGAGGAGTCTTATAAAAAAGAGCAGAATAGACACAGAGACACACGGGGGGCGGGGAGAAGACGTCATGTGGAGACAGAAACACGCGGCTGATGCATCTCAAGCCCAGGAACACGCGGCTGATGCATCTCAAGCCCAGGAACACGCGGCTGATGCATCTCAAGCCCAGGAACACGCGGCTGATGCATCTCAAGCCCAGGAACGCCAAGGATTGCTGGCAGCCACTGGAAGATGGCACCTGCCCCAAGCCATGACATTTTCAATCACCTCACGTGCATGTAAAAGCTGGACAATGAATAAGGAAGACCGAAGAAGAATGGACGCCTTTGAATTATGGTGTTGGCGAAGAATATTGAGTATACCATGGACTGCCAGAAGAAGGAACAAATCTGTTTTGGAAAAAGTACAGGCAGAATGCTCCTTGGAAGGGAGGATGGAGAGACTTTGTCTTATGTACTTTGGACATGTTATCAGGAGGGATCAGTCCCTGGAGAAGGACATCACGCTTGGTAAGATAGCGGGTCAGTGAAAAAGAGGAAGACCCTCAACGAGATGGACTGACACAGTGGCTGCAACAGCGGGCTCAAGCATAACAACGATTGTGAGGATGGCGCAGGACCGGGCAGTGTTTCGTTCTGTTGTACACGGGGTCGCTGTGAGTCGCAACTGACTCAAGGGCACCTAAGAAAAACAACCAACTAGAGGGTGAAGTAGACAAGGAGGCCCTTCCCCTGCGGCCAAGCCCTAAATTCGGTATTCTGGCCTCCTGAACTGTGAGGAGGTAAATTCTATTCTTTAAAGGCACCCACTTGTGGTATTTTTTTCTTACGGCAACTTAATCTTAAAAGGTGCAGCTGTTCTCCTCGGAAATGAACACAGCTTCCTGTCCCCAGTGCTTGGACAGACAACACGAGCTTAGAAAAGGTTTGCGTAATGAAAGGAGAACCAGGGCATTTGAAAGACTGCCTTGCTGGGGGTGGGAGGAGACGGGGTTGTAGGGTTTTCATAATTCCATGAACTGTACCTTGTTTCCTTTCCTTGCGCCCCATGCTCAGCATATCCGATGTGATTCAGTGAACCTCGTGGGGCGGAAGAATCAGAGCACGCTTCATTACATGCCTCTCACCCTGGCAGTCCCCTCGTTTAAAGGGACAGCAGGAAAGGAGGGAGGGGTCCATCAGGTGGTGGGTTTACAGTGCGGCACTTGCTGGAACTTTGTACACGAGCTAGAATTTTAAAACTTGAGTCACTCACTATCCAGAGTTGACTTAACACTTTAATAAAAACGTGCAGCTCTCTGGCGTCATGGGGGCCTGGTTTGCTCAGCTAAGTGGGCGTGAGCCTCAGTCTTGGTGCTCCATCATCAGTCTCCAGAGTTTGGGGAAAAAAGTGGGATGCCTCCAAGATGGCTTTAAAAGAAAATACCCCAGAGCAGGCCCTCCCAGGCCCCTTGAGACTCTGCTTATCACACAGTCAAGGCCAAGTTGTTGGCTGCTGTTGAGCCAGCCCCCTGGGTCATGGTAACCCCGCGCACAACAGAGTAAACGCTGCCCGGTCCTCATTGAGGGTCTAACTCAGAGCGCCTCTTACCCTTCTGGAGCCCTGGTGGTGCAGTGGTTGAGAGCTCAGCTGCTAACCAAAAGGTCGGCAGTTGGAATCCACCAGCCTGTCCTTGGAAACCCTATGGGGCAGTTCTGCTCTGTCCTGTAGGGTCGCTATGAGTCAGAATCGACTTGAGGCCGATGGGTTGGGTTGCGTTTGGATTTTCACCTTCTGGTTGCTTTCTGAGTGCAAACCCTGCCTTGAGTGTAAACACTTTTCTGTTGTAGTTTCACCGTTCAGGCCTGTAACTAGAACACCATTTCTTGGCTGACCTCTGACCAAGACAAGACTGCAGGTCGCATGGAGAAGCGCGGGCGCCCAGAGGCCTGAGGCGGTTTTTGCTTTGCCACCTAGGAGTGTTTACCTTAAGCAAGTGTCTTTGGACCTCAGGCACCTCTTTTTTTTTTTAAGGAGCGAGAAAGAAATGGGATTCAAAACATTTCACCTGCCTGGAGGGCAGTGGGGCTAGATCCAGGCTCAGTGAGTTATTGAATCAAAGCTTTGTCCAAAGACCCAGAGAACAGATTGCCCAGCAGCGACTGGGGTGGGCGTGGAGGGGCTGGCAGGTGGTCTGTGTCCAGCTGGTGACGTGGGTGTGCCTTTGCTGATTGTCCTTCCAGGAGCCATCTCCTTCCTGCGCTCCCTCCTGGAACCAGATCCCGTGAAGAGGCCGAATATTCAGCAGGCACTGGCCAATCGCTGGCTCAACGAGAGTTACGCGGGCAAAGTGCCGTGTCCCGTCACCTACCCCAACAGGTAACCCACTGCACAGAGCGACTCCTCCCGCGGGGTGGGGCCCACTCCACGAACCCTGGGTGTTACTGGGCAGGAGGCTGCACGTGAGTCAGTTCACTCTTTGCTGTTTTCCCCCCTCGCCCCTGCACACCCACAGACAAGCCCCTGTCCGTCCACGCGGGGCAGCAGAGGCTGGGCTGTCCCGTGTGGTTGTGTTACTCTGCTCCGCGTACCGCACCGCAGAGGGACAGGCCTGCTCCCCAGAGGCCCCATCCTCTTCCTTCCTTTTTGTTTTTTTAATAATATTTTATTGTGTTTTTGGTGAAAGTTTACACAGGAAATCAGGTTCCGATTGAACAATTTCTGCACAAATTGTTCAGTGACATTCGGTTCCATTTTTCACTCTGTGTCAGCATTCTCGTCACTTCTGTCCTGGTTGTTCTGTTTGCAGTAACCTAGTTCCCTGCCCCCTCACCTTCTCGGCTTTGGTGACAGTGTTTGCTGACCGTTTAGTCACGTACAGACTTCAGAGGAGTGTCGTCCTCACGAGTGATATGCATTCTCTGAGCCAGTCTGTTAGTTAGCTAACAGGGGACCTCGGGGTAGTTTCAGTTCCAGGTTTAAAGAGCACCTCAGGGTGATGGTCTTGGGCAGTCTTCTTGTCTCACGCAGTTCAGTAAGTCTGGACTTTTTAACGATTTGAGTTCTGTTCCACATTTTTCTCCCGTTCTGTGGGACACCTCTTTCTAACTCATACGAAGGTGCAATATAGGCCAGCTGGGGTCCTAGTGTATGTGTGTCTGTGAGTGTGTGTCTGTGAGTGTGAATGTGTGTCCGTGTGTGTCCGTGTGTCTTCGTGAATTTGTGTCTGTGTGTGTGCGTGTGTGTGTGTGTGTGCATGTGAGGCTGTGTTTGTGCCTGTGTGTGTGTGAGGATGTATATGTCCGTGTGTGTATGTGAGGGTGTTTGTGCCTGTGCGTGTGTGTATGTGTGTGTGTGTGTGTGTGAGATCCACCAGCACCCTCCTGCCAGAAACAGGCAGAGTCTGGTAGAATTGCTCCCCTCCACTTTCAGACACCCCCTTGGCCTTTCTGCCACTCTGTCCTTGTTTATTTCTGCAAAATGTCCTGCCTTAAATGTTGGGGGTGGGAAGAAAAGGTAGTAGATGAAGTCGTTTGGGTTAGGCCCTGGGTCCCTGTGGACTCCCTGCGAAGGCTTTGCCTCATCCATTTCCACGAGAAGGAATCTTTACAGAAGCCTCACAGACAGGAATCCACACCATGAAACGCTCCCCCACACATCGTGGTGAGCCCACTTCTCCAGGCTGGGATGCTGACGACAGGTTTGGAAAACAACCCAAGAACACACTCCTGTGTGATTTTTTCTACTCATTTGACACGTTGCTAACCAATCGCAGGGAGGGACTGCGGTAGTGGTTCGGTGGTAGAATGCTCACCCTCACACGTGAGACCCAGGTGCGATCCCCAGCCGATGCACCTCGTCTGCAGCCGCCACCTGTCTGTTAGTGGAGGCTTGCGTGTTGCTAGGATGCTGAACAGGTTTCAGTGGAACTTCCAGACTAAGATGGAATCGGAAGGAAGGCCTGGCAGTCTACTTCTGACAATCAGCCAGTGAAAACTCTATGGATCACAACAGTCTAATCCATAACTGATCATGGGGATGGAGCAGAGCCTGTTGTGCGTGAGGTTGCCATGAGCCAGAGCCCACTCAATGGCAGCTGACACCAAGCCTTGGTTACTGTAGAGCAAACCTGTAGGCAACATGGGTCAGATATCCTTCCAGGACTGGGACCCCCTTGCATCCTTCTTCCTTCGTCTGTGAGTGCCCTGCTCCTTTGACCAAGCATGGTTGAGGACAAGAGAAGCACTCACCAAGGGCACAGGATGGAGGGCTGAAAGGGAAGTTCTAGGAACATCCACCAAGCCTCATGCGAGCCCCAGCACTGAGCACCCCAGGCGAGGTGGGCAGGCAGTCTTTTGTCTTAGGGAGGGAGTTCTAGAGGAACATAGGGAGCTTGGGTGGACATTCCTGGGGTCTTCATCCACACTACTGGACCATACGCTTGCTATAGAGTAGGTGGGGCCATTGGGTTGCCGTGTAGAATTCTAGCATTTGGCTCACAGGAGGTAATTTAAACAAAATCTAGATTGCTCAGGTTACCAAGGGAACCTGGAAATAGATTGCTGTTTTCCAACACCAGCTCGATTTGGGCCGGTATCTGAAACAGGCACCAAAAATATTACCCCAGTGTGAGCTGGAAGGTGAAGCTGAAGGGCCATGCCTCATTATAGCTGCTCAAAATAGAGAGCAGTGCACAGGTACCTCCTGTGACAGGAGGGCGCATCGTGGCAGCTAGATGAGTCACTAAGCTAGTGTAATCACCGTCTAAATGAGCATAATCAAGCCACTCAAGGCAGCAGCGACTGAAGGAGGTGGAGCTGGGATTAGAAATACGGTGCCCCCCTCCGTGTCGGCTGCATCTTCATTCACAAGACAGCATGACGTGGCATCTCATTTCGTAACTTCTCTGCAAGTTGTAGACAGGCTTTTGTAGACAAAAACTTTTAAATCCAGGCGTTGCATACTGGTGCAATGGGTTGAACTATGTCCTTACAAAAGATACGTTGACGTTCCAACCTCCAGTATCTGTGAATGAGACCTTGTTTGGAAATAGGGTCTTTGAAGATGTTATCAGTTAAGATGAGGTCATACTGGAGTAGGGTGGATCCTAATCTGAAAAGAGTGGTGTCCTCGTGAAAGAGGAGAGATGGATACAGAGGGCAGGCAGCCAGGTGAAGACAGGCAGAGATTGGAGTGATGCATCTCCAAGGCAAGGAACGCCAAGGACTGCTGGCAGCCACTGGAAGCTGGGAAGACGCAAGGAAGGATCCTCCTCGGGAGCCTTCATAGAGCACGTGGCCCTGCCAACACCTTGGTTTCAGACTTCCAGACGCTAGAACTGAGACAATAAATTCCTGTTGTTTTAAGCTGCCTAGTTTGTGGTACTTTGTTAACAGCAGCCCTACCAAACTTAATACAACTGGTTTTGCCAGATCGGTAAATTTTTGCATTTGGGCTTGGTCAGAAGCATGAGGTTGGACATGTTACTAGTTAGGTGGTGTCGTGGATTGAATTGTGTCCCCCTGAAATGTGTGTCAACTTGGCTAGGCCGCGATTACCAATGTTGTGTGATTGCCCAGCATTTTGTCATCTGATGCGATTTTACTATGTGTTGTAAATCCTACTTCTATGATGTTAATGAAGTAGGATTAGGGGCAGTTATGTTGAAGAGGCAGGACTCAATCTACAAGATTAGGTTGTATCTTGAGTCGATCTCTTTTGAAATAGAGTGAAGTGAGCAGTGAGACAGAGGGACCTCCTACCACCAAGAATGAAGAACCAGGAGCAGAGCATGTCCTTTGGACTCAGGGTCCCTGTGCTGAGAAGCTCCTAGACCAGGGGAAGGTTGATGACAAGGACCTTCCCTCAGAGCCAACAGAAAGAGAAAGCCCTCCCCCTGGAGCTGGTGCCCTAAATTTAGACTTCTAGCCTCCTAGACCGTGAGAGAATAAATTTCTGTTTGTGAAAGCCACCCACTTGTGGTATTTCTGTTATAGCAGCACTAGATGACTAAGACAAGTGGATTGTCAAGATGGTTAAGATCTTGTGTACTGAAGAAAACAGGAGCTCAATGCCTTTTGTTTCTGAAAGACCTGTCAATCACTTTATACCAGAGGCAAGTCAATGTTCGGTTTATAAGTAATCATATCTGAACTGTCAGGGAGGGCACATGGTATTTACCATCTTTATTTTGAAAAACGCCTATCTTTAAGGCAAAAAAAAAATGGACTTTTGGTAAATAATGTGCTGGTTTCACCAGCACATAGATCAAGGAGTGAGAACATGTGCACTAACGAGCATAATCAAAAGTAAGGGGCACAGTACAGGGGAAGTCAGTGCAGCTGGACCAAAGCCAAAGCTAAGAAGTTTCCTGGACACATCCAAACACTTTGAGGGACAGAGCAGCTGGGGCTGGGGCCTGGGGATCATAGTTTCGGGGGACATCTAGGTCACTTGGCATAACAAAGGTTATTAAGAGAATGTTCTACATCCCACTTGGGTGAGTGGCGCCTGGAGTCTAAAAGCTTGCGAGCTGCCATCTAAGATTCATCAATTGGTCCCATCCCACTTGGAGCAAAGGAGAATGAAGAAAACCAAAGACACAAGGAAATATTAGCGCAGCGGACTAAAGGACCACGTGAGCCAGAGTCTCCACAGCCTGAGACTAGAAGAACTAGATTGTGCTCGGCTACCACCAATGACCGCCCTGACAGGGAACACAACAGAGAGTCCCGGACAGAGCAGGAGAAAAATGTAGAAAAGAACTCAAATTCACGTAAAAAGACCAGACTTAATGGTCTGACAAAGACCTGTGGAACCCCTGAAAATATGGCCCTTAGACACACTGTTAACCCAGAACTAAAACCATTCCTGAAGCCCACTCCTGGGACAAAGATTAGACAGGCCTATAAAAGAAAAAATAATACACGTGAAGAATGTGCCTCTTAGTCCAATCAGATGCACGAGACCGAATGGGCAGCTCCTGGCTAAAAGCAGGGACGAGAAGGCAGGAAGGGACAGGAACTGGACGAGCAGATACAGGGAACTTGGGGTGGCAAGCGGGAGTGTGCTGTCACATTGTGGGGATTGCACCTAATGTCACAAAACAATATGTGTATAAATTTTTGTATGAGAAATTAACTTGAGCTGTAAACTTTCACCTAAAGCACAATTAAAAAAAAAAAAACTTTGAAAAAATAATGTAAAAATAAATAAATAAAAAATAACTTAAAAAAATAAGAGGTAAGGGACACAGTGGGCACATCCCACCGTCGTTGCTACCTGTCCCATCAGTGGCTGCAAGTACAGGAGTTCACACGCCTCCCTGCACTTGAGGCCAGCCGGCCCCAAACCTGGGGTTTTCCTCTAGCCCCCTCAGTAATGCAGAAATCTAGGAGTTCAGGCAACACCCGTACTTCTGACTTGCTGGCTTCCCCTTCCTCTGTGGGGTCGATAACATCCTGCAATGACTTACAGAATTCACAGAGCAGCATGCATACTTGTTGGGTGCCGTTGAGTCGATTCCAACTCATAGCAACCCCCTGTGATGGAGTAGAACTACCCTATAGGGTTTTCTTGGCTGTAATCTTTATGGAAGCAGATTGCCAAGTTTTTCTCCTGTGGAGCCGCTAGTGGGTTCACACCGCCAACCCTTTGGTTAGCAGCTGAGCACTTAACCGTTAGAGCCACCAGGGCTCCTTGGTATGTATACCAAGGTATAACTACCTAGCCCTGGTGGTGCAGTGGTTAAGCAGGTTGGCTGCTAACCGAAAGGTCGGTGGTTCAAACCACCAGCTACTCTGTGGGAGAAGGATGTGGTGGTGTGCTTCTGTAAATATTACAGTCTTGGAAACCCTATGGGGCAGTTCTACTCTGTCCTTCAGGGTCGATATGAGTCGGAATTGACTCGACGGCAAGCGGCTTAAGGGCTCGTTAAAATTTTGTTGGGTGTGTTGACAGGATAGTGGTTCTGTAGGAGATGTGTATAGTTTTTGAAGATGCATACTAAAGTGCTTAGGAGTAAGGTGTCATGGTGATTATGATTGAAATCACGTCAGCACAAAAAAAAAATGGGTGAAGCAAGTGTGGCAAAGTGTTAGACAGAGACAGACAGCGGCCACCGAGGCGACTCGGACTTAGGGACGGAAGGGAGCATTGCCTGGCCCTGTGTCACCCTCACTGTTGCCAGCACGTTGGAGTCCAGCGTTGCGGCTCCGATGCCAGTCTGTCTCGCTGAGGATCTCCCTCGCCTGCATCGGCCCTCGTCACCAAACACAGGGTCCTCTTCTTCTAATTGACCCCTCCTGATGACGTGTCCATAGCAGACGAGTCAGACAATGGTTTCTTGTGATCCACAGGGCTTTCACTGGCTGATTTTCAGAAGCAGATCACCAGAGCTTTCTTCCTAGTCTGACTTGGTCTAGAAGTTCCACTGAAATCTGTTCCCTGTGGGTGACCCTGCTGGTATTTGAAATACCGTGGCATAGCTTCCAGCATCACGGCAACATGCAAACCACCACAGTCCAACGGACTGACAGACGGTGGTGGCGGCAAAGCGTTAACAATTGCTAAATCCAGGTGATAGGTATAAACCCTCTGCCGTCAAGTCACTTTCTAACTCAGAGCCACTCTATAGGACAGAGTAGAACTACCCCGTAGGTTCCCAAGGCTGAAATCTTTACAAGAGCAGACTGCCACATCTTTCTCCCATGGAGCCACTGATGGTTTTGAACCACTGACCTTTTGGTTAACAGCTGAGTGCTTTAACCACTGCATCACCAGAGCCCCACTTGACAGGTATACATGAAGTAATTATACTATTTCCCTTCACTTTTCTGTGTAGTTTTTCATAATAAAAAGTCAAATGAATGGATAGATGTGGATGGGTGAGTGGGTGGGTGAGTGGATGGATGGGTGAGTGGATGGGTGGATGGATGGAAAGATGGTGGATGGATGGATGGATGATGGATACATGAATGTGGACAGATGATGGATGGGTGGATAGATGGAATGAGTAGATGGATGGATGGATTAAATGGGTGGGTGGGT